GTGTTGCGAAGAGGCTTTTTGTCACTTGATGTCTAATGAAAACTACCAAATACTATTAATGGTATGAAGATCCAATGAGTCTCTAAGTAAGAATGAACAAATGTATGACTCATAAGTGCAAGAAATTCCATGTTAAAAAAATCTTGTTTACATTAATTTTATCAATTATATTCTTAATTCTATTTGTAACAATTATTTTAACAAATCAAAAAATTGATTAAAAAGAAATTTATATTGAACAGTGACAGATTTGATGACAACTGACTGATCTTCTTAATTTCTGAAAACTAATCTTCAGGACTTCAGAATTGTTGTTTGGCAAACTGAAAAATAATTATTTTTTTCACGATTGAATTGTTCCAGTAATGTTGGCATTGAAAAAAATTTTCATTAAAAAAAAAATAAATAAATAAAATAAAAGGAATCTGTCATTATCAAGAAATGTCTTTGAGGTGCTGATATTCAATCTTACTTGTTTCTCAATAAACTGTTTATTTGTCAAATGATGTTATTCTAACACACCCTTTGTCAGCATTTATCCTTGAGGACATTTGATAAGAGATGTTGAAAGAATGAGATAAGTATAAATCTGAGGAAGAAATAAAACTACAGGGTGATTGAAAAGTAACTCCTTATTTTATGTATGAGTGGCCAGCCAGGAGTTCTGACTTAACACACTGTGACTTTTTTCTTTGGGGTTGGTTAAAGGAGCAAGTACCAAAACAAAACTTTAGGTGAATACAATAACTTACATCTTCCATACCACAATAGTTCCTAGTGAAATCAGTTGATGCAATTCCTGGACAGCTTGAGAAACTGGTAGCGAAATCTGGTTCCCATATCAAATTTTAAATAAAACTTCATGCTGAATGTTTTCCTCTTGTATCCATTTGTTGTAAAAATTATAGTTAATAAATAAATTATAATATGTTAAAATGGAGAGTTATTTTTCAATCGCCCTGTATACAAATTTGATGATGTAAGGGGAAACTTTAGAAATCTTGCTCTCAATTGATCTCCAGGAAAAGTCACCCAATACAACTGGTGTATAAAATAAATAATAAAAAACACATCCAAACAAAATAATAATGATGATTTTTAATTCTATTCTATCAAAGGCATTGTTTTGAAGTTTTGAACCCTTAATAAGATGCATCTCAAGAGAAATCTCAGTTTTATGCTATATATTAATACTAAGTATTTTAGTATTCAGTTTTATGCTATATACTAATACTAAGACTTTTTGCTTGTTCCAGCCCTTAAGAAATAATTAAAAAAAATAAAGAAACTTACATTGTGTTAATATTCAAAGAAAAAACTACCAAAAATAAAATCACTACAAATTTATAAATGTAGTAGAAAGCATATTGTCGGAGTTAGCTCCTCCTTTAGTTCCTTAATCCTTCAACAGCGGTCTCTCTCCCCTGGCTATAAATACTAGCTGACCCTTCACCTCGGTCTCTTTTTTCCTCAGGCTTTCAGCCTTACCACCTCGCAGATATGAGCGCTCATAGATTCACCACACACACTCTGTCCATGTAACTGTCAATGTAACTTGTAACCTTTCTTGCTATTAATACATATATTTGTTTACATATATTTATTGGTCTTGTGTTTGTTTTTCCTTGTCTTCTTTGGACTTAATTAAAGTCCAACTTTCTCATGTAGTTGGACCGGCTAGCAAGAAAATTTCTACCCGCATGTGTTCTTCTACTTCTACATACACATCCCCCCCCCCAACGGTCCTCTACAATATCATGAGGGAACTTTCGATCAATCAACGTTGATTTGAGTAAATTAAAAAAGAAATTTCAGTTTGATAACAAATACAACTTTGCAACAGGTATAGTCAGTCAAGATTAACTACCATAAATCTACACCAAGAAGCTTCCATTACTCAAAGACAGAATTCAAATGACTCTAGATCAAAGAATTCACCAATAATTGAAACTACATACCAGCTTCTCTAAGTCAATATACTTGTACATACTTCCCTTTCTCCCATAAACTGTAATTACATTTATCATAATGTATAACTTTACTCCTAATTAGATATACAATGCTATTCGATAAAAGTGACTCACCAAATTTTTTTTTTACTTAAAAATTTTTTTGCCTATTGTTTTTGGGGTCAAACTAATTTTTACTCTTACTAATATAAAGACCCCTTTCTGACCACCTAGTAAAAAAGTTTAATCACCCTAAGGTATTCTATTGATAATTATAATTTTGGATATAAATGAGATTTAGGGAAAAACTCATTTCAAATAAGATATATCAATGAAAATCAGTTTAAGCAAACCCTTATATGCCAAAATATAAAGAAATTACAGTTTTCAAATCTATCATACTAATTGTGACTATGACCACAATTACAAAAATTCCTTATTGAAGGTCAATCTATTATAAAAAACTAATATAAAAAAATTGTTTAAAAATTTGGAAATATATTATCTTTAAAAAAGATAATAAAAAAAAGCATCTAGGAACTTTTTAAGCTAAATGATTCATAAAAAATCTTATTTTCTCATTTATTTTAGTTATTTTGTTTGCCACAAGGCCACCATAATAGAACACCTCTTGTGAAGCTATTCTTTGTTAAGCTGATTTACAAACCATAGGACTGTCTTTGATCCTCACTGGGTACTCCATATTTTGACCTAAGCTTCACTTAGAAAATCATCATATGACTCTCCTTCTGGATGAAACTCAGTACCTGAAGGAATGGAACTCTTCTTTAAGGTGAGCTCATTAAACATCACTTTACAAAACAACAGTGGTGAGGCACCCAATGAGGATTAAAAAAATTACACCAAATTTGAAAAATGAGCTTCATGATTATACTGCAAAAACATATCCTCATCTCATTAATTTTAATGTCTCACTGTGGAAGGAGATAACAGCTGAATGTTATTACTGTGTAGTGAAATTGATTCTCACAGGGTGACCCATACTTGCTGCCTTGTATCAAACTAATCTAAGTTTAGCAAATAAGAGACCCACACCATAGAGTAATGACTGGTTATTGGCATGCCAGTCTTATACACAATTATTGTGTAGTGAGTTTGATTCTCACTAAGTGAGCCATAGTTGCTGCCTTGTACCACATTAAACTATGCTTATATTTACATCAATCAATATTAATATATATGGAGTACCTCACTGTGGGTTATGTTGTGAATTCACTATTCACCTGTCTTTGTAGCATTTATACAAGACTATTTATTATACTGATTCTCTTAATCCTTATTGGAGACCAATGATTCTCAACTGCCGTGCCATGGCACTCTAGTGCGCCATGCGATCCTCTTAAGTGTGCCACAAAATATTGTCATGGCACACATATATATATGTGTGTGTGTGTGTGTGTGTGTGTGGAAGTAGCAGTGGTACAGTGTATCAAATAGTTTAATAGAAACATTGAAATAAAGTTCATATTTGTGTCTGTATTTTTTAAACCTATAGTTTTATGTGAGAACATTTAAAATTATTATTTGTATACTCTTTAAAGATTTTGCTAAGTGTGCCATGATATTTTCATTTGCTCCAAGGTGTGCTGTTGCTTAAAAAACTTGAGAAATACTGTTGCAGACTGTACACTACACTGTTGCAGACTGTAACCTGTATTTTTCTGCTAAAGTCTTTTCTCAATTCATATCAAATACTTTTTTTATTTTTTTAAGAATATATAAGTTGCAGAAAATAAAAAAAAACGTTTCAGTCAATTTATAGCCAATTTTATTGCAACTATCTCAAGAATCAAATCTAGCAACATTTAATAAAAGATCCGAGTGAACAAGACTACTCTGATGACAAACGGTTAAGGTTGATTACTTGTTTGACAAGCATTGGTGTCGAACAAGACATATTATTAAAGAAAAGCCAAGACCGGTCAACATGAATAGCGTTTCTTTTCTGTGCTATTCATTTCTCCGACATCTTTCAACAAAGTTTAAAAGTAGCAGAAAGGATTAAAGTAATGAGCAATAAGGCCTAAGCTAAGCAAACAGAGTTGAGTTATACTAGCAATACGGGAGCCCGGAGCTCATAGACATTCACAGGCAAACAATAGCGCTCCAAGTGTGAGAGGTTGTAGCTGGGGCCAGTTCCCAATTTATACTGGGGAGAGCATGTGGGGATGGCCCCACACTCCCTAGCATATGAATAAGCCAAGCCAACATGGTAGGTTTTCTTTAAGATCATCACAGTGTTTTTTAGAAAAAAGAAACATACATATATCCACACACAAAAGTTTAGATCCTCCTACATGCCTATACCCATCACAATTAAGCACAGGGAAGTTTTTATAAATGTGTGTGTATATATATATATATATATACACACACACACACACACACACACAAGAGGATGCTATAGCCAGTATAAATCAAACATTTTAAACAAATCATTTCTTAATAATTTGTATTTATTTATTTTTCTACACTTAACAGATTTTTTAAAACCATGTCTCTTCAGAATGTAGACAATCATGGTGCTTCCCAACCTCCTTTTAACTGATATCTGCAAATTCAATTATGAATCGCCACACCTGTTCTTGGTAAGGTAACAGAGTAGTTTCCAGTTACTTTCTCCATATTTTCAAATTCAGAATTGTACTCGAGATATATTGCTCTACCAAAGATAAAGAGCCCAATCTACCCTATTATTTTATCCATAGCTAAGGAAGAGATAAGAAACATAGATTTATGCCTTTCCCATGGGTATCAATGTGAAATGTATGCAATAGACTGGACTAAAATTGGAAATCAGTCTACTGTGCTGAATCCATTTCCTGCAGCAATAATCATTTCTGCACCTGGATTTGCCAAAAATAATGAATACAAATTTCAATAGCAGATAAGAATAAGTAAATATATTGCCATCACTGCAGACAGGGATGAGGAATCCTATCTTGACTTTCTGAATTCTCTGTGACTGATTGCTGGATTTGTTTTATGGTTTAACACTATGTATTAAGCCATAAAAGCAAAACATAGGTTTACGGCCACATCACATATTGAAACACTGGTTCCTGTATGATCACAAAAGTTAAGCAACGTTGAGCCTGTTCAGTACCTAGATGGGTGACCACTTGGGAATACCTGATGCTGTAAGTTTGGATGTGCAGCAGGTGTAATGAATAATGGCTCAGAATTGCTAATCAAAAGGCCCGTTTCCAATTCCAGTTCAGTTCATTATATTCATTTATATGGAAATACCCTTGGGGAAGTTATGAATCCATCTCTTCCTCCACCCCCCAGTTATGGGTTAATTAGTAAAAATTGTATCACTAAATCATTATCTCAAAGAAAATTCTTACATTTTAAAAAAATATTTTCTGGTTTTAAATAACCTGCAAAAAGCTATCAAAAAATGAATAACTCAATCAATATAAAATGAAATCTACTTTGGATTGTAAGAATAATTTTTTTTTTTTTTTTTTGGTGGGGGGTGAATATTGTATTGACAATTTAGGGAGAATAATGATTTTTCCAGGTACAAGTCCTACTATTTAAACCAAAGCTTGAGGGAGAAGAAATGGATCCATACTTCCCCCAAGGGTATTTGTGTATAAGTAAATGTAATGAATTTGACTGGAATTTGAACTTGGCTACCTGATTTCTCATTCCAGGCCACTATCCATTACACCACCCACACATCTGAATTCTTTGTGTGAAGGATACTTGAGTATAGGTATGCATATACATTTGCTATATGTTAGTACCAAGGTCATATAAACATGTATGCATGTGTTTGGAGTAGGAAGTGAAAGAACATGTTTGTAGCCTTGTTTGTTATTCAAATACCAGTTACCAACCAGCATACATGTTTTGCACCATCCTACGCACATATACGTAGCTGTCCATATGTTTATATATTAGACTCTATTGAAGAATAAGATCAAAAAATAAAATATAGGTGGAGAAACACTGCAAATGGTTCCTGAAAAAATGTAGACATACCAGTAAAATATGATATCAGGTGTGAAGCTTACATCTGTGTGTCAATGATTAGCCAAATTTAAAAAGAATTAAAAAAATTGTGCTACCAACACGAATATGTAATGACATACTTTTTTCTCTCTGATAACCCCATTTTATTTATATATATATATATATATATATATATATATATATATATATAGGTACCAGGAAGTAATAAAAAGTTTATGGCATGCAAAGGCCACCCAAAATTCTTACATTTAGGGAGTGAGTCAGGCCATGAACTTTATATATATATATATATATATTAGTAAGGACATATAAATGTGAGTGTGTGTTTGTCCATGCCATAAACAATGAAGACACATTTTTTATGTCCTTACTATTATTAGGATGTTTTTGCATGTGGAACTTTAAATGTATTTATTGAATTATTATTTTTGTACCTTGCTCTTTCACATAATCGGATTTCCACTTGGCGGAAACAAGACAATAACTGACCAGTACTAAATAGGAACCAAAGTTATCCTTAGACATGGGCAGTGGAATGAGAATAATCTAGCCTCACAGACTAAGTAAAGGGTTTAGTTTACACACTGTCCAAAATGTGATAACAACAGCAAAGATGAGGACATTAGTTTGCACGTAAATAATGTTAACTCCTCATCCCAGAAATTACATACATGAGATTTAGTTTTCTGTTATCATTAGTTATGGCAATACTTTGATTATGAGTAAGAAAAAGATTTTCAGATGTAAGTTTTACTCAGTAAAGTTTTTTGTTGCATTTGGTAAGATTCAAAGGCATTTCATTATTACAAATTGATTAAACATGAAGAAAACAAAATGTTATTGCCAACCACAACAGTGAGCAATTGGTTCCTTAAAATGATGTACTGAAATATAAGACTATTTCTAGTCAAAGAATTCAATTAATGGTTTTATTGCATGACAACACTCATCTTCTAATTGCCAATGTGACGCAATAATAAACAGTGGTATGGGAAGTTCTTCCACATACAATATAACCTCCAGATTTCTTATCTGCAATCATTTGTTTGGTTCCATGTAATATCACTTGTCTGGTAAACAATTTCAAGAATTTGAAGATATTTAAAAATTCATGAAAGAATTTATCAAATAAAAACCAGATTATTCCTTTTGTGATGGAATACACAAGTTGAATGATGGCACAAGATCATAGAAAGCTAGGGAAATACATTGATGAATGAACAATGATGCTATGAATAAAAGATTTTACCATAATATGTTAAAAACTTTCATATGAATGCAATAAACAAATAAATGTGTTCAGTCAGTGTGAGGCATGAAATGATAATAAATTTTGTTAATTTTAGAGTGAAATTACCAAGAATGAAAGTAACTTAAAATACACACATCATCAAAATTCTCTTTCAGCTAATTTCTTCCTTAATATTGCCGTTGTTTAACAAGAAAATCTCACAAGCGATTCTTAGTGAGCTTAATACTTTTGGGACATTCCACTATGATATACTGGGTTAAGCTAATTGTGGTAAATACCTAATCATATTAAAATATTAGACACCAGTTCAAGAGCGATGACAAGTTAATCGTGCCAGCCATTGTAATGACTTTGATACTCACTGGGTGCACCATTATTGTGACACAATAAGCTAGCCTACTAATCAATTCACTAGAGAGTGAGTCCAATACTTTCTGTGTGTCACTCTACTGGGCCTTTGGCCAGACTTAGTCAAATTGATTATTTCAGTCCAAATTTTTTATTAAATTACCAAGACTTTTTTTCTACGTTTTTTTTTTTTATATCAATGTGATGGAAAGAAAAGCATTCCTGTATGTCATAGACATGTACCACAAAAACAGTTACAAACTCTTTTCATGATGCTTAAACATAGCAACATTTCAAAAAACCTGTAATCCTTCCTAAAAGAGCTACCCATACAAAGAAAAAAGTTGTTGGGGTGGTGTAGAAGAGAGAAAAACCTATCAAGCAACAGATTGGTTTAAGTTTTGAGTGAATTTGTTGATCACACACACACACACAATTGCACCCAGTGTTAATTCAAATGGTAAGAAAGAGCAACACAAAACACTCCCCGGGACTGCCACAGTGAAATATGACTTGAAACTAGAGAATAGTCCCAAAGAACTCAATAACCCCTAACAAATAGAGGAGAGGATGTGGGTGGCAAAAGGGGTAGTTTGGCCCCGGTCCTGTACGTGGTTAGCTAAGTACAAAAAAATCTTGAACAGAAGGAGACATATCTAAAAAGAGGAAGCTATTTAAGCCAGTGGCGGGTGGAAATGGAGTTGTAAAGAAATATTAGCATTAATACTATCTAAAATTCCTAATAGAACAAGAATTTGAATTTGTGGTTTGCACACAAAATAGTATTCATCATATAAAGTTGGAGGAGAAGCAGGAGTAAGCTTCTTTGTTGTAGCCAGGTAATTTATTCGACTTGAATTTCACTGAAGATACACAGCTAATGAATAACTTATCTCCCTCTTTTTTTTAAAGACCCTAAAAAAGCTATCTTCAGATATCAAAATGCCAAGAAAATAAAACTGACTGAATACAATGCAAATTGTGTGTGTGTGTGTGTGTGTGTGTGTGTGTGTGTGTGCCTGTACCTAAAAAACACACATACCTAGGGTTTTAAATACATTTTTAAAAAATTAAAAATCTTTCTTGAAGCTTTCTATTTTAGTTTTAATTCCAAGCTAATAAACCTAATATTTCCAATAAGCAAAATACTTTGCTGTATTTTAAACCGAATTTAAATTGATTGAAATGTTTTTTGTCTGATTATCAATAAGATCGATAAAATCGTCCATATTAACAAATCTTTCAACACAACATAATTTTCTTTAATGTTATAAAAAAATCTTTCTGAAATGTTAATTGAGAAGAATTACTCAATTTAAAATTTAATTAATCTGAAATGAAACAAATATTGCTTATAATTTAAAATATTGCAGAAAAGCATTTTTTAACATGGAGATGGGTGTTTTTCTGAGGTGTTAAAACATTTAATCAACAAGCTGATGTTTGGGAAATTTATCTAAGGACAAGATAATCATAATAAAGTTACATGCTGTATACAACATAAACGCCTATTCTCTCTCGCTCTCTCTACATATAAATATATATATATATATATATATATATATATATATATATATATATATATTAACAACCCAGTAATCCTAAAAGTTTAAAATATTTTAACCATTCTAATATTCTTTTGAATTTAACATACTTATGAAGATGCTTATTGAGGAAATATTAGAAAATTACCAATAAATTTAAAATTTACTATAGTTACAGTTTTTATTTTCAGATAATGTCATGTGTGGATGTCTGTATTTACAAAATTCAGCACATTTATGCACATACACACACAAAACATTCAAAATTATTTTTAAAATACTGAGTGTCACTGGATTGTAGTAAGCTTTTCCATTTAAGATTAGTAAATAGTTTACATTTAATAATATTACTTGGCAGCTAAAATTAATACAGAATTTTAAAAGATTTAAAAGTTTATAAATTATTTTAATTAAATTTTTAAAAAATGAGAGCAATTTTTATAAAAATTCATTATTCATTGAGAAAATGTTTTTTTCCTATTCAGTAGTGTCCATAATATATTTTATTAGCAATTAAAAGCTTTTCTAATTACATAATGTGTTAGTTTCATTGCATATTTATTTTACAATTCTGAGCAGATTTCCTGTAACAGGGAGTCCTGTTTGGCAAAAGAAATTAAATGATCTAAATTCTGCAACAATTTGTCCTCATATAAATATTTAAGCACAACAATTAAATTAAATAAGTGGGGGTACCAATGTAAAAAAAAATGTTTTTACTAAAATTGTCTTAAAAAAAAAGAAAAATTAAAAAAATAATTTCATTCATTTGTGAATAAATCTTGAAAGTTGAAGTAAAATCTGACATCTGTTTTTTACCGAATTTCCAATGTGTTATCCACCGCAAAAAGGTGTTCAAATTTCCTGTACAAATTGATGATGATAATGAAAAAAAAAGTTTTTAATCAAAATTTCGAAGGTTCTAAAAAGGATTTAAAAAAATGATTCTGACATCAAAAAACCCTTTGATCTCTCCTCTTAATGGTAACACAAAGGTGTTGAGGATAAAACTTTGC